ACAATCGAGATATGTACAATGACGATCGAGATATGTACAAGGACGATCGGGATATGTAACACGGACGATCGAGATCTGTTACAAGGACGATCGAGATATGCAACAAGGACGATCGAGATATCTAACACGGACGATCGAAATATGTAACACGGACGATCGAGATATGTAACACAGACGCTCGAGATATGTAACACGAGCGATCGAGATATGTAACACGGGCGATCGAGATATGCAACACGGACGATCGAGATATGCAACACGGACGATCAAGATATGCAAGAAGGACGATCGAGATATGTACAAGGACGATCGAGATATGCAACAAGGACAATCGAGATCTGTGACAAGGACGATCGAGATATGCAACACGGGCGATTGAGATATGTAACACGGGCGATCGAGATATGTAACACGGACGATCGAGACATGTACAAGGAATATCGAGATATGCAACACGGATGATCGAGATCTGTTACAAGGACGATCGAGATATGTAACATGGACGATCGAGATATGCAACAAGGACGATCGAGATATGCAAGAAGGACAATCAAGATATGTAACAAGGACGATCGAGATCTGTTACAAGGACGATCGAGATATGTAACACGGACGATCGAGATATGTACACGAAATATCGAGATATGCAACAAGGACGATCAAGATATGTAACACGGCGATCGTTATATGTAACACGGACGATCGAGATATGTACAAGGACGATCGAGATACGTAGCACGGACGATCGAGATCTGTTACAAGGACGATCAATATATGTTACATGGATGATAGAGATATGTAACATTGACGATAGACATATGTACAAGGACGATCAAGATATGTAACACGAACGATCGAGATATGTAACATGGACGATAGAGATATGCAACAAGGACGATCGATATATGCAACAAGGACGATCGAGATATGCAACAAGGGCGATCGAGATATGTACAAGGACGATCCAGATATGCAACCAGGACGATCAAGATATGTACAAGGACGATCGAGATATGAAACAAGGACGATTGACATATGCAACAAGGACGATCGAGATATGTAAGAAGGACGATCGAGATATGCAAAAAAGGACGATCGAGATATGCAACACGGACGACGAGATATGTAACAAGGACGACCGAGATTTGTAACAAGGAAGATCGAGATATGCAACAAGGACGATCGAGATATGTAACATTGGCGATCGAGATATGAAACACGGACGATCGACATATGCAAGAGGGACGATCGAGATATGCAACAAGGACGATCGAGATATGTAACACGGATGATCAAGATATGCAAGAAGGACGATCGAGATATGTACAAGGACGATCGAGATATGCAAGAAGGACGATCGAGATATGCAACACGGACGATCAAGATATGCAACAAGGACGATCGAGATATGCAACACGGACGATCAAGATATGCAACAAGGACGATCGAGATATGCAACAAGGACGATCGAGATATGCACGAAGGACGATCGCGATATGTACAAGGACGATCGAGATATGCAAGAAGGACGATCGAGATATTTACAAGGACGATCGAGATATGCAAGAAGGACGATCAAGATATGCAAGAGGGACGATCGAGATTTGTACAAGGACGATCGAGATATGCAAGAAGGACGATCGAGATATTTACAAGGATGATCGAGATATGCAACAAGGATGATCGAGCTTTGCAACAAGGACGATCAAGATATGCAAGAAGGACGATCGAGATATTTACAAGGACGATCGAGATATGCAAGAAGGACGATCGAGATATGCAAGAGGGACGATCGAGATATGTAACACGGACGATCGAGATATGCAAGAAGGACGATCGAGATATTTACAAGGACGATCGAGATATGCAAGAAGGACGATCGAGATATGCAAGAAGGACGATCGAGATATGTACAAGGACGATCGAGATATGCAACAAGGACGATCAAGATATGAAACACGGACGATCGACATATGCAAGAGGGACGATCGAGATATGCAAGAAGGACGATCGAGATATGTACAAGGACGATCGAGATATGCAACAAGGACAATCGAGATCTTTGACAAGGACGATCGAGATATGCAACACGGGCGATCGAGATATGTAACACGGGCGATCGAGATATGTAACAAGGACGATCGAGATATGTACAAGGAATATCGAGATATGCAACAAGGATGATCGAGATCTGTTACAAGGACGATCGAGATATGTAACATAGAGGATCGAGATATGCAACAAGGACGATCGAGATATGCAAGAAGTACGATCGAGATATGTAACACAGACGATCAAGATCTGTTACAACGACGATCGAGATATGCAACAAGGGCTATCGAGATGAATAACACGGACGATCAAGATGTACAAGGGCAATCGAGATATGTACAATGACGATCGAGATATGTACAAGGACGATCGATATATGCAACAAGGACGATCGAGATATCTAACACGGACGATCGAGATATGTAACACGAGCGATCGAGATATGTAACACGGGCGATCGAGATATGCAACACGGACGATCGAGATATGCAACACGGACGATCGAGATATGCAACACAGACGATCGAGATATGTACAAGGACGATCGAGATATGCAACAAGGACAATCGAGATCTGTGACAAGGACGATCGAGATATGCAACACGGGCGATCGAGATATGTAACACGGGCGATCGAGATATGTAACACGGACGATCGAGACATGTACAAGGAATATCGATATATGCAACACGGATGATCGAGGTCTGTTACAAGGACGATCGAGATATGTAACATGGACGATCGAGATATGCAACAAGGACGATCGAGATATGCAAGAAGGACAATCAAGATATGTAACAAGGACGATCGAGATCTGTTACAAGGACGATCGAGATATGTAACACGGACGATCGAGATATGTACACGAAATATCGAGATATGCAACAAGGACGATCAAGATATGTAACACGGCGATCGTTATATGTAACACGGACGATCGAGATATGTACAAGGACGATCGAGATACGTAGCACGGACGATCGAGATCTGTTACAAGGACGATCAATATATGTTACATGGATGATAGAGATATGTAACATTGACGATAGACATATGTACAAGGACGATCAAGATATGTAACACGAACGATCGAGATATGTAACATGGACGATAGAGATATGCAACAAGGACGATCGATATATGCAACAAGGACGATCGAGATATGCAACAAGGGCGATCGAGATATGTACAAGGACGATCCAGATATGCAACCAGGACGATCAAGATATGTACAAGGACGATTGAGATATGAAACAAGGACGATTGACATATGCAACAAGGACGATCGAGATATGTAAGAAGGACGATCGAGATATGCAACAAGGACGACCGAGATTTGTAACAAGGAAGATCGAGATATGCAACAAGGACGATCGAGATATGTAACATTGGCGATCGAGATATGAAACACGGACGATCGACATATGCAAGAGGGACGATCGAGATATGCAACAAGGACGATCGAGATATGTAACACGGATGATCAAGATATGCAAGAAGGACGATCGAGATATGTACAAGGATGATCGAGATATGCAAGAAGGACGATCGAGATATGTAACACGGACGATCAAGATATGCAACAAGGACGATCGAGATATGCAACACGGACGATCAAGATATGCAACAAGGATGATCGAGATATGCAACAAGGACGATCGAGATATGCACGAAGGACGATCGCGATATGTACAAGGACGATCGAGATATGCAAGAAGGACGATCGAGATATTTACAAGGACGATCGAGATATGCAAGAAGGACGATCGAGATATGCAAGAGGGATGATCGAGATATGTACAAGGAATATCGAGATATGCAAGAAGGACGATCGAGATATTTACAAGGATGATCGAGATATGCAACAAGGATGATCGAGCTATGCAACAAGGACGATCAAGATATGCAACAAGGACGATCAAGATATGAAACACGGACGATCGACATATGCAAGAGGGACGATCGAGATATGCAACAAGGACGATCGAGATATGTAACACGGACGATCGAGACATGCAAGAAGGACGATCGAGATATTTACAAGGACGATCGAGATATGCAAGAAGGACGATCGAGATATGCAAGAAGGACGATCGAGATATGTACAAGGACGATCGAGATATGCAACAAGGACGATCAAGATATGAAACACGGACGATCGACATATGCAAGAGGGACGATCGAGATATGCAACAAGGACGATCGAGATATGTACAAGGACGATCGAGATATGCAAGAAGGACGATCGAGATATGCAAGAAGGACGATCGAGATATGTACAAGGACGATCGAGATATGCAAGAAGGACGATCAAGATATGAAACACGGACGATCGACATATGCAAGAGGGACGATCGAGATATGCAAGAAGGACGATCGAGATATGTAACAAGGACGATCGAGATATGCAAGAAGGACGATCGAGATATTTACAAGGACGATCAAGATATGCGAGAAGGACGATCGAGATATGCAAGAAGGACGATCGAGATTTGTACAAGGACGATCGAGATATGCAACAAGGATGATCGAGATATGCAACAAGGACGATCAAGATATGCAACAAGGACGATCGAGATATGTTACACGGACAATCGAGATATGCAAGAAGGACGATCGAGATATGTACAAGGACGATCGAGATATGCCAGAAGGACGTTCCACATATGTAACACGGACGATCGAGATATGTAACAAGGACGATCGAGATATGCAACAAGGACGATCGAGATATGCAACAAGGACGATCGAGATATGTAACAAGGACGATCGAGATCTGTTACAAGGACGATCGAGATCTGTTACAAGGACGATCGAGATATGTAACAAGGACGATCGAGATCTGTTACAAGGAGGATCGAGGTATTTTACAAGTGCGATTGAGATATGTTACAAGGACGACCGATGTACATAGAACACTGTTTCTATATGAAGCTGTGAAAGAGGCATGGAGGAGAAAGTGTTTTATGGTTGAAGAGAATGTTGAAACATGTTACATGTATGTCCGTTATACAGGCAAGAGAACTGGAGATAAACACTAAACACAACGTCTTCGTCTGACTCCCTCTGTGGTCTAGTGGCTGGAACGTCTGTCCCGATAGACGAAGGTAGACGGTTCCATGCCCTAGCCGCGTCAAAAGACACTCCTGATTCTTTCTGTGTGTTATTGAGACAGCCCCGTCCCAGGACGAATTTGTCACTGACATCTATAACGTCATAACCAGAGAATACCCAGTCTCGACAAATGAAGTCTTTGTTCTACACTACAACAACGGTTATGAGGTGACAATGGCAGCAGCAAGATATTCCAATCACTGAAGTAACAATTGTCTTCAGTTCAGTAGTCCATGTTACAGGACGTGCTTCCTTGTTTTACCTATAGTCATTATCGCATCACTTTCCTTTGGTCACATTGCCGCCAGTAGATTGAGAAATACTTCAGGTTTACATGGGCTCTTACATCTCCGCATTGTGGTCGCCTTTGACACTGGAATGAGAATATGGATACGTAGTCAATAGGGTAACATAATAAAAAAGACAACCACTTAATGTCAGTTTATGTCAGTTATGATACAAAGTATTCAAAATATGTTATGCTAAATGTCTGAGGTGCCGAGCTACAGAGTACTTCCTCTTGTGGACTCCTTTCCTCCGCCTGCAGCTGCGGCAGCTCCAGCTCTATAGAATCTCCCAATCTCCATCAAGACAATCTCCTCGCAGGTAGCTTTCAAGACAGGACTAAAATCCCTTTCTTTAGAGTTGCTATTATTGTTGTCTAGTCTTCAGAACAATCTCCCAATTTCCATCAAGACAATCTCCTTGCAGGCAGTTTTCAAGACAGCACTAAAAACCCATTTCAGTAGAATTGCTGTTATTATTATCTAGTGTTTTCACTCTTGACTTGTTGATCCGGTAGGTCATGCCCACCCTTTTCGCGAACACCTAGTGTCATCACTGATTTTCACTTGTCCATTCATATAATTTTAGCAGCTATTTTGATCTTTATGCCAAATGGAATTTTCGTAATTGCTATTATTTTTATCTGGTGTTTTCACTTTTGACGTTGTTGACCGGTAGGGCAGAACATGCTCACCCTTTTCATATAATTTCCACAGCTATTTTGCACTTCACGCCAAATGGAATCATTTTCGGCAGAAAATCAATTCTGGTTATTCTCTTGCATTGACAGTTTATGTTATATAGATTAGGTTGTGTACAGGACGCCGTCCTATAGCAGGACTATTGCTGGGTGCGGCGTTGAACAACAAACACGAACTTACTCATTGATGAAAGTTGTGTGAGTGGCGAGTGATACCGGTAGAACAGGACATACTTCCCTTTTTGATAACACCTGGTGTCATAAGTTGATGTGTCTGAAATGTTTTAAAAAGATGCCTTATTGAGTTTGAGTGAGTTGGGTTTTAACGCCGCTTTTAACAGTATTCCAGTCATATCACGGCTTGTCAGCTTAATGTGGGAGAAAGGCCCGAAGTGATGCAGGTCTCAGACGTTTACCACTTCGGTGAAACCCACGAGCACGGGTATGGTGCTGACAAACTTAGAAACATAATCGGGGCGAACCGGGATTCGAACCCACAATCATAGGTTTCTGGCGTGTCCAAGGGACGCAACTCTGCACAGCGAATAGCGGCGCCTTAGACGACTGGGCCAGTCGTGCCCCCTACATATTGAGTTATATTGGACGAAGCGTGTGTTGCCAGGTGGCGTAAGAGTGAGAGTCAGAATCGGGTTACTATGTTGGAGTAACTATGTGGGGACAATATAACTGAAATTGCCGACGTAACTTCAAAAAAAAGTGAGTGAGTGAGTGAGTATGGTTTTACGCCATTTTTTGCAATATTCCAGCAATATCACGGCGGGGGACACCAGAAATGGGCTTCACACATTGTACCCATGTCGGGAATCGAACCCGGGTCTTCGGCGTGACGAGCGAACGCTTTAATCACAAGGCTACCCGACCGCCCCCTTAAAAAAAAAGCCACTCTCTGTCACTCTTGGCACTACAAAGTATAGTTTGTCAGTAACACACCTCCCAGCTTTAGACCAACTCACTCAATTGCAATTTCAAACGACTTAATATGGTGAAAGATAATCGATTTGACAAGGAAGTCATTTACTCACGGTTTCCTGCAGTTCCAGATGCAACAGGCGACGACGAGGATGATGAGAAAGACGCTGATGGCGATGATGGAGCAGATGAGGCCAATATACAAACCCGCCTTCTCCAGTGTTAAAGCTGAACCACTTCCTGATAAGCAAATAATATGTCACATGTTCTTGACATTTAAAGTATAAGGAGTAGGCAAGTTGGATTGAAGACACCTTGAACGTATCGGTGAGGTAAGGTGAGGTTTTAATGTCGCGTCCAAGATTATTGCACTTATATAGCGACGTGGATGTACGTGTGTGTGGCTGCTTGTACCAGTCTGGACTAATGCCGATTTATTATGAGTGAGTGAGTTTGGTTTCACGCCGCTTTTAGCAATATTCAAGCAACATCACGGCAGGGGACACCAGAAATGGGCTTCACACATTGTACCCATGTCGGGAATCGGGTATTCGGCGTGACGAGCGAACGCTTTAACCACTAGGCTACCCGACCGCCCCCCGATTTATAGTGCTGAGATACCATGCCGGGACAGGACAGTGGGTAATGGCACGAGAACAGAGTTGAACTCGTCTGTGAAGAGGTGAGGTGAAATTGGGTTTAACGTCGCGTCCAAGATTATTGCACTTATATAGCGACGTGCATGCACGTGTATGTGTGTGTGTGGCTGCTTGTACTAGTCCGGACTGATGCCGATTTATAGTGCTAGCTCACTGAGATACCATGCCGCAGTTTAACATGAATACCCCACTGACACCGTATACTGACTCTGACCCGACCAGTCTCTGTTTTAGCCCCTAGATGCCGAGCGCCAGACAGGGTAACAACAAGTACCATCTTTTAACGTCTTGGTATGACGCGGCCGGGAATCGAACCCCGGACCTTCCGCTCTCCGGGCGGACGCTCTACAACTAGACCACGGAGGCGGTATGAACATATCGTGTCACTAGGTAGTCCATGCTAGAGCCAAACCTTACGCAGCTTGTTTATTTTTACTGTGGTAAAACCTAGGGTCTGATCCAAGTCAACGGCCAGCGGATCCTGGCCTTGTTAAGGGACGCTAATCTGCACAGCAGATGGCTTAATCCACTGTGTCCAATGTCTTTATTAATGTATGAAACAGTTTCTCACCCTTTGACGGACATTCCCCTAGTCCACAGTTGACCACTTTAGATTCATGCAGATGAAGTACACAGGCGCGACCTCCATTCTTCGGTTCCGGATTGGTGCAGTTCCGGTGTCTGTCCGTAGTCCTAGTTGCCCCCTTACCGCAGGTTGCCGAGCAGGATCTGCTGATCCAGGCCCCCCACTCGGTCTCACCACCATCAACTGAAATAAGTGGTCAGCATCTTTGAAACGAACATTTCCTAGATGAGAACTATTAGGGCATGGGCGGTGGGGAAGCCTAGTGGTTAAAGCGTTCGTTCGTCACGCCGAAGACCCTGGTTCGATTCCTGACATGATTACAACACCAACTGTGGTGTCGCCCGCACTGATATTGATGGAACATTGCTAAATACGGCGTAAAACCATACTCACTTAAAATTAGGGCAGACACGGTATGGGCTTCCCGCTGTTGGGGAACCGTAAATGGTAAAAGTACATGTGTAACTATAAGCTTGTTATCAAACAGAATATAATACAAATAGTACAACTTTTAATGTAGCTCACCTGAATATGCATGACGTCAACAAATGTCAACGAACATGGCGTCTTAAGAACAAATACCACTAAAATGATAACATCATATGAAGAATTACAGACATGCAATTTCCTCAAGGGCGGTAGGGTAGCCCAGTGGTTAAAGCGTTCGCTAATCACGCCGAAGACCTGGGTTCGATTCCCCACGTGGGTACATTGTGTGAAGCCCATTACTGGTGTCCCCCTCCGTGATATTGCTTGAATATTGCTAATAGCGGCGTAAAACTAAACACACTCATTTACTCAATTTTCTTAGACTGGCAATTTCTGAGAAGGTAACTTATAATTTAGAACATACGTTCTGCTTAATCTTTTCGCCCAGTTATTCATTTCACTGACGTCTCTTTACCTACTTATATAGGTCACTACCTGTCTATTTATCTACCTATGCATGTCATGTACCTTTCACCTTATCTACCTGTGTATGTCATTATACCTATCTATGTTCCCACCTACCTACACACCCGCGCATTACACACGTAGTTGTCCGCGTCTTGGAAGACAGTCCTGCACACTATCAAAGTCTAAACCCTGATGACATGCATCAAACAAGTCCGCGAGCCTGACCACCCGATCCCTTTTGTCGCCTCTTACAATAAGCATAGTTTTTCTACCCCGGATCTTTACAGGCTTTTCTGCATGTCAAGGTGGACAGTTCTTGTTCTGATATCTGCGCAGTGAAGAGATCATGGCATGAATGGGTAATCTGGCCCTAAGTAGGTCACTGAACACCGCAGTTCATAGCGATATTGTTCATTTAAGTTTAGAGGTGAGGTGAGGTGAAATTGGGTTTAACGTCGCGTCCAACATGATTTCACTTATATAGTGACGTGCATGTACGTGTATGTGTTTGTGTGGCTGCTTGTTCTAGTCACTGAGATACCATGCCGCAGATTAACATGAATACCCCAGTCAGACACAATATACTGACTCCGAGTCGACCAGTCCTTGTTTTACCCCCTTAATGCCGAGCGCCAGACAGGGTAACAACAAGTACCATCTTTTAACGTCTTTTGGTATGACGCGGGCGGGGATCGAACCCCGGACCTTCCGCTCTCCGGGTGGACGCTCTACCACAAGACTACGGATGCGGTCCTTAAGTTTAGAAGAAATTCATAGCCAAGCACTTGATACTATAACATCCAATCAGTCTCAACATTACCAACTGGGCCCTAAATAAATCAGTTCTTTGAGCTTCCAATCTGAGTTGTTATAGCATACCCTCAAGAATTGGTGTCCGCTACATTGCTACATTTCACACATTTTCGAACATGCTCTTTCCACGAAGATTTCAAAGACCAGCAAACGATTCTTGCTATAATATTTTTGGTCAGGGTTACAATATTCAAAGCCTTAGTAAAACTTTCAAATGGTGACATTAGACGGACATTTTCAAATTTGAAGCATCGGTGACCAAAATGATGCCCAATGCGATCCTAACTCTACCACAACCGTGGTACTCGTCGCATGCAAAGACTAGTCAATTGTTCACCTGGAGAAACACGGCATATGGGAAAACAGGAATGTTGAGAATGTGCTTCACACGGTCATGATACCAATGTGGGAACCTGAAACGTCTGTACCATCTCACCACACCGTGTACAACACGATACAATACCTCGACTAGCTTTCGACAATGTATTTTTACTTAACACAGGGACAAACAAACACATACGTACACCTACAGTCCCACAAGGTGTATGGCACATTGTGCACGAGTGTTACATCCATATTATAGTCTTAACAATGAGTCACAATGCCTTTTAGACACTCTGTGTCCATGGAGCGTGAGATTCTACCATCAAGCACTGTGGTTTAATATTGAACACCTAGTTAAACTACAGTCGTATCTGTTTGATCCTACGTAACCTCTTAAAGAGTATAAAAAACGGTTGATTCTTTAATAACCTCTGGATTTTACTCATATATTGTTGTTATTTATTTCAATACAAAATATGTTACTTATTCTGGTGTCTAGATTACCCCCTGACGATAGTTCAAGCTGACATCTTAAAAGACCATATCTGTGTATACGTATCAAATGTCAAACAAAGGTAAATGTCGTTGGTTGTTTTCTTCAGGAAATGGGGCCGGTCGGGTAGCCTAGTGGTTAAAGCGTTCTCTCGTCACGCCGAAGACCCGGGTTCGATTCCAGAAAAGGGTACCATGCGTGAAGCCCATTGCTGGTGTCGCCCGCCGTGATATTGCTGGAATATTGCTAAAAGCGGCGTAAAACAATACTTACGCACTCTTAAGGAAATGAGTCTAGTTAAGCTGTTTAGCCACCCATGCTAGCCGTAAAAGGCGACGATGCTTGTCGTAAGAGGCGACTAACGGGATCAGGTGGTCAGGCTCGCTGACTTGGTTGATGCATGTCATCGTATCCCAACATGCGTGGATCCATGCTCATGATGTCAATCATTTGATTGTAAGGTCCGGACTCGCTTAATATACAGACCGCCGTCATATGGTAGCAGGAACATTGCTGGGTGCGGCGTTAATGAACAAACCAACAAACATAACTGCGGCAGATGTCACATCTTAGCCAGGTTATGTTTAAGTGCTGTTGTGGTCATCCCCTTGTGACATCGCCTTGTCAAACAGGGCACAGATGTACAAGGGATCATCAATTTTATACCGCACTCGTCCCGACATCTCTACTCAAATAAGGTCTATATTTATTCCCTGATCAGTGAATCCGTAAGTCAAGTTAATTTTGCCAGAATCTCTTCTCTACATTATATCGCCTCATGAAGTGGTGGGATAAATACAAATGGCATTACAACAAGATTGATAACAAAATCAGACTTAAAGAAACTTATGTAAAACTAACCTTTACCTGTTTGTTGATATGCGTATGGTATGTTGGTGATAAGTAATATTACAGGTACAATCAGACATTGCATCCGTAACGTCATCTGAAGCAACAATTGCAATTATTCACATCAGGTAATGGTAAATATAAACATTTGATTATCTGTTCATTTTCCATCATTTTCCAGAACATTGAGTGACAAAAAAAATATGTCTGACTAATTTGGTCGACGTCATATATGCTTAAATTCATCTTGATAACCATTTTGAAAAATGATTTTTATACGCTATGATAGTTTACTTGATTGTTGTATCACATCATCATTTTTAGTAGATTTGACAAGGTTAATATCTAAATACGATAATCAACTTACTTGCTGTTGGGGTGTGGAAGTGGAAATCGTTCCTTACCTTCATAACTTCTGAATGTAATTCAGTTGATGTCATGACAAACTGCAGCGTGTTCCCCTTCTCCCTATCTAGCGTTCCTTCTCCTCACTGTAGCACCCCAACAACACACTGTGAGCCTTTCAGTACATTGTGTTGCATTGAGCAGCAACACACGCCCGATCACGTCACGTTTCTATTATGCACCTCTCCCTTACACAGACATAACTTACGAATTTGCACAGGACGGTTGTGTTGCGTGGACAATGTAGTCAGTTCTAAGTGGTAACATGTCTAAACATTTTCCATACATCCAGGTTTGTAAAGGTTATAGAGGACAGATATCCTGTCGGTTTATATGTGCGAATATTCTAATGGGTGTTTCCCTCTTAACTAAATGTATGATACCACAATGGGGTATGGTAATTACTTCTTACTGCATTATATTCAGACTACGACAGACAAGTAAAACAACTTGTTGACTAGGTATGAACATACCCCAAAAAGTGAAAAGTAATGGAGTTTCGGAGTTGGACAACAGTAGAAGAATATTATTTGGATGTGGTTCCTTGTCGATCAGCCAATTGTTTCCCAACCCTCACTGTATAATAGTTTAAGGTTTAACATCGCGTCCAAGATTATTGCACTTATATAGCGACGTACATGGACGTGTGTGTGTTTGTGTGGCTGCTTGTACTTGTCCGGACTGATGCCGATTTATAGTGCTAGCTCATGAGATACCATGCCGCAGTTTAACATGAATATTCCACTCAGACACAGTTTACTGACTCCGAGCCGACCAGTCCTTGTTTTAGCCCCTTGATGCCGAGCGCCAGACAGGGTAACAACAAGAACCATCTTTTAACGTCTTTTGGTATGACGTAGCCGGGAATCGAACCCCGGACCACTAGACCACGGAGGAGGTACTAATAGTTTAAGTCACAGGGCGCTCCGAAGAAGGGAATGTCCGAGTAACTCTCCATTCCTTAAAAATCATGACCCAGAGGCCCCGAATTATGTTCCAGGAATGGAGAGCTACGCGGATATCCCCCTCTACGGAGCGCCCTGTGACTTAAACTATTATACAGTAAGGATTGGGACACACATGTCTACTCTTATAAATGGACAAAACATTGTAAAGAGCCAAAAAACATGCACTGTGAAGATCAGCTCGCGACGGAGCAGGTGCCACAGCAGCAACTCTCCATGTCCTCAAAATAACGATATGTTTTAAGTACTGTTTGGCGCTTAATTCCGACTGATGTCGCTGTGAATTTCATAGGACAAGATCGGCTTTACAAGCAGTGCTAAATGAGGTATAGGATACATTGTTAAACATTTCTATGCACGCTAAGTTCACTGCAGTCCGTACAACACATCATGTGTATGCCCAGCTCGTAAGTGAAGGTATATGACAGATACCACTTTATATAGAGTGTTGGTATGGCTTAAATAAAACCGATAAAACCGATAAAACCGATACAACCTTTCCATCATCATAAGAACGATTCCGACTATATCATAATATTTAGGTATAGAATATAAGATGAGGAAAAGCTAACATATACACATGGAATACACACAATAACAGGTCTAAATCTCGATAGAAAAAAAAGAAACAAGAGAATAACAACAACTTAACCCCACAGCAATTATTAAATCTATTGTATGCACAGTTGAGCTATTGAGCTCTAAACAGTAACAGCGATACCAGTATAATTATAAGACAAAGTATCCAGGTAATGCAACAGTGTGGGCATTTATATTCCTCACGGATGTCGTCAGTCGCAAGCATTCTGCGCCACACCTGATGAAGCTGCTGTGTGTTTGCTGGAGGAGGTACGCGTTGACTCAGCTGTCGATCAAGATGATCCAAGAGATGCTCTATGGGAATCATGTCTGGAGAACATGATGTCCAAGGCAATACGTTGACGTTAACGTTGTACAGATATTGCTTTTCAAGTTTGGCGGTATGAGACTGTGAATTGCACTGCTGCAAAAGGGTAACCCTTGACTGTCCACACACGAATGGCACTACAACAGGTCGCAACACTTCATCCCTGTATCTTTCCCAAATAAGATTCCCACGGATGATGAAAAGTCCGCAGATAACGGCCCACCAAGGTGCTAACACTGGTTTGACGGATGATAAAGGTTCTTGCAATCTGTCGTTGAGAGGCCCCATATAGGCCATATTGATAGCTCTGTCACGTTCCTCTTGTGTGAGTCTTGGCATTTTGCAGATGTTCTTTTTTATGCTGCATCCTTGCTCTGCTCCACACCGGTGTTTATGCAACAATCATGCACGGACATTTCTGCCCATATTTTATGACTGCACGAAATTCACTGAATCCTGCAAAAGGTCTTGTGTGCACAGGGTGTGTTTTGGTGAATGTTTTCTGCTAACGTTCTAATTTATTGCACTTTTATTTAATTCAGAAAAACCTTAATTTACAAGTGATCAGTTCTTTTGCCCGGTAGTTTGTTTATATATGCTAAACATGCACAAAAAAATACCATCTACCAGAAACACCGAGGTTTGACTCGTCCATGAAGGCGAGTGAATCAGCCGACGTTGAAATTCCCAACAACATCAGAGTTAACAACATCCTCAGCGGAATTAGATGAGGTGAATATGTTGTACCGTATCAGCACAAGGAGCATACGTTATTATTCTGCTGGAAAGGGATATGATTGGGTGGTGACTGATTCTGCTACATTGTGTTGCCCTATTTAAAATGTGAAAGCAGACACTGGTATAAATCTCCATTTTGTCCTGATTGTATTTACAGCCAACCAACGAAACATACGTGATGGCACATGACTTCCGGCGCCATTACCTTTGATTCTTGCTATCTCGCTTTGCTTACGGTTTTGTCTTGACTCAGTGGCCGAACTGATTAGCATGGTTAACAGCTTCCAACACAGTAAATGCCTTGGGGTGTGAGATAATATCAACTATCACGAAGTCTGAAGATGAAATAACAGTTGATTATGCATTATCTTGTCAAATAACTGATACGACACATTGTATAAACTACGTAATACGTTGATCGGATGAATTAAACTTACGAGCTAAAGAAAGTATACACCCTGTTACAGCATCTATTGTCACCGGGCACATATTGCTGCCGGCGACATTATATGCCAACGTTCACGGCACACATTGTCGCCAATCGGTTGGCGACAGTATATGCTTGGGGTGCACTGATTTGATAGGACTTAGATATGATAGAGTTTTAGATGACTCAGGATATTGTTAATACGGACGCCATTATGAAGATGTTTTACATTAACTGTTCCTTTGTCTTCAGTTTACGGTTATTAGATGTCGTTGTTATGTAGATTGCTGTATAATTATATATTCCAATTATAATGTTCATAAATTCATATATTTATCTCTATGGCACTTGTTTGAATACCGCTTCTATTTTGATAAGTATGTATATGAAACTGCTCCGTACAATGTATGATGTAATGTATATAGGGGTGAGATATTTATATTGATATCTTGTTTATAAATCCCCATCCACTATTCATATTATTGTAGAAATATATTCTGTTTAACTTTCATAAGTTCTAAATACATTCCTTCTGCAACATTCAACTCTATAACCTTTTCTGTTAATGTTTCAAAATAAAAACGCTAAAAATTGGAATTTTTATCTCTGAATCGAAAGATATGTACACAGCCTGACATATAAGCTTCTGAAGTTGTCATGTAGGCCTACACTTTTTAAGTATTGGATAACGTAATAACGGTAGCTGTAAGAGGTTTCTAGGAAATCTATGGGTAATTGAATATAATGTACATACGTTCTGCTTTTATTAAACAATTGTTTACGGCCTGTCATATTTGGTCTACTTGTTCTTGTTCTTCAATTTCCGATATATTGTAAGTTCACAGTTTGAGTTTTATTGAATTTTATTTTAATTTATTTGAGTGACATTTGTCAGTACGTTTACTGCCATAATGAGGGGGAGACGGTGTCTACGTCCCGCTCCATTACAAGTGAAAAGTGGCTTGACCTTGTTCCATTCTGAACAGGCTACTGCGCTCGTTTACTGTTTGCATTGTTTATCAAATTCAGTATGTAAGTGGGGTAATCCATTGTTGTCAAACACATGATGTAAGATATAAAAGATGGAATAAATGAAAAAGCAACATTGTTCACAGTGATTTGTTACATAATCAATAAATCGTTGCTAGAACATTTTGGGGGAATTATTTCAGTTACTGACCAGAGTATATCTTCTACCTCCAAGTCAGATACATCATACCAATCAGAATACATCTAATACCTCCAAGTCAGATACACCATACCGGTCAGTGTACGTCCGCTGCCTTCAGGTGAGACACATCATAACGATCAGGGTACATCTACTACCTCCAAGAGGAAACACTCCATACCCATCCGTCATAGCGATCAGAGTATGTCTTCTATCTCCGAGTGAAATACTTCATACCGGTCAGTGTACGTCTGCTGCCTTCAAGTGAGACACATCATAACGATCAGGGTACATCTACTACCTCCAAGAGGAAACACTCCATACCCATCCGTCATAGCGATCAGAGTATGTCTTCTATCTCCGAGTGAAATACTTCATACCGGTCAGTGTACGTCTGCTGCCTTCAAGTGAGACACATCATAACGATCAGGGTACATCTACTACCTCCAAGAGAAAATACTCCATACCCATCCTTCATAGCGATCAGAGTATGTCTTCTATCTCCGAGTGAAATACTTCATACCTGTCAGGGTGCGTCTGCTATCGCCAAATGAAATACTTCATATCGATCAGGGTATATCTTCTACCTCCGAGTGAAATACTTCATACCTGTCAGGGTGCGTCTGCTATCGCCAAATGAAATACTTCATATCGATCAGGGTATATCTTCTACCTCCGAGTGAAATACTTCATACCTGTCAGGGTGCGTCTGCTATCGCCAAATGAAATACTTCATATCGATCAGGGTATATCTTCTACCTCCGAGTGAAATACTTCATACCTGTCAGGGTGCGTCTGCTATCGCCAAATGAAATACTTCATATCGATCAGGGTATATCTTCTACCTCCGAGTGAAATACTTCATACCTGTCAGGGTGCGTCTGCTATCGCCAAATGAAATACTTCATATCGATCAGGGTATATCTTCTACCTCCGAGTGAAATACTTCATATCGATCAGGGTATATCTTCTACCTCCGAGTGAAATACTTCATACCTGTCAGGGTGCGTCTGCTATCGCCAAATGAAATACTTCATATCGATCAGGGTATATCTTCTACCTCCGAGTCAAATATTTCATACCGATCAGGGTATATCTGCTACCTTCACGTCAAGTATATCATACCGATCAGGGTATATCTACCATACCAATTTAAAATACACCCCACCGATCTGAGTATATCTACTACCTGAATGTGAAATACTTCATATCCATCTACCTCCAAGTCACATTCGTCATACACGATCAGGGTATATCTACTACAAGATTGACACAATTTTATGGATAACAACTTCTTTAATACTGTGAAAAGCGACGTTTCGGTATAGATCCTTATACCGTTGTCACGCAAGTCTGAATGAGGGCTGCTGCTGATTTAAATATTTTACGTCCGCTTCGCATTTATTGCATTTCGCGGACGGGATAGGTGGGGAAGTAATGATAAATAGGTTAAATATAAAAATCACCATACCCAAAAAACTGAAACTAACCGGGGAGTAACCTATGCTATCCTAGAGAAGGTACTAGAGAGTATTATTACTAGGGGTGTTATTTACATTAAGAGACGTGGGGCGATTACTTTATCTTACTGAGTGTAGGTTGGGTTGGGGGGTTATGACTTGGTTAGGTGGCGAGCGGTGTGGGCTTGTGGTAGGCGCTGGCTGGCTAAACGGGTTTCTTTGTTTAGTGTGTGGATAACTGGGTTTTAGGCGCGGACGTCGGAGAGGACGACTCGCGATCCGAAAGTTAAGGGATATTGTTAACTAGAGCAAAGTAATTTTAGATAGTTTTGTTTGGGAGATTCGAAATTCTGTCTAGGAGGTCTCCTTTGATGATAAATTGTGTTATTGCATTGAAGATGTGGATAGGGTTGGAAGGGTTGAGAAGTAGTGAGTAGTGAGGGACATAGTGCAGAATATGTATATTAGGTGGAGGATTAACAGTAACAACAACAGCATACATGAGTGGGATAACATTGGTAGGTGTGACAACAAAGGGATGATGCTGTCACAACACGATGGACAGAAACACATAGCTGGAAGCCAATAGGGGGCATGAAGCCAATAAACAGGATAAGTGATTATTGTTTGATGACCCACTCATGAATTCGAAGGTTAAGAAATTCAACACTGACCACGGTAACTCTGGCATCATTTTGTACCGACAAAAGACTCATCACAACAGGGATAACATATTATTAATCCTTTAACACAGTGGTTGTGTACGTCACAGAAACATTTGCATCTGACATTTACAAATTATATGAAGTGTGAGGAGCCTGTATTTAACGACACATATACAGTTCAGAAGGATAGTTGTACAACTATGGGTAAGTTAAAGTCATGCCCTTATCTACACCACTGAGAACAATACAGATATAGTAACACCTAATAATATTGCAAATACAGTTAAATGTGTTGATACGTAAATGTGTCACACATTGCAGAATTTCAAAACTTCCTTGATTAATATCTAAATACAGTCGACAAGTAGACTGAAATATGTCATCCAGTTCATTGGTTTGTCTATCCGAATAATTGGACGCTGGGCAAGGTTTGGAAGACGACGAATCTCACTGTGGTCGTTTTCTGAGGAATCTGTTCAGCGCACGTGGCACAACAAAACAGCAGCTGGACTGGTGTGTAGGTCGCGCATTTAGACGCTTGACAACCAGCTGGAAGATCCCCTTGAGGACACTTGGCTGTGGAAACAAACGTGTAGGCATAATACAGCAGGGGAGAGCAAGCACATAGTTATAATGGTTTGTTTGTTGTTTAACGCCGCATTATGCAATATTCCAGCTGAGTAAATAATCGTGCCTGGGCAGACATTCCAGTGTCTGACATCATGAGCGTGAGCGATGACATGTATCTAGCAAATCAGCGATCCTGACCACCCGATCCCGCTTGTCGGCTCTTAGGACAAGTATGTGTTTCTGAAGACCAATTCTAACCCCGGTTTTCATTAGGGACATAGCTAGTTTTAATGCTGATTTGGGTCTCGTTTACATGCAATAATAAATCAAGGTGCCAAAAGATAATATCTAAATCTCACCAGCATCCTGATGTAGTGACAGCCTAGATAGTGACCTTTTATGATTTAGGTATGGTGAAAATTTATCATCAATGTTTTTACATTCTGGCGATAAGATTTCCAATGATAATAAATGGCGTCCTTTCAACATTTCATATTGAAGGAGCTGCATTTCCGCATAACTGCGGGTAGTTCCAAACTAAGTACCTGTCTTTGATGTCTAGGTGAAACAATAGAGGAGGAAATAGCCGTTATCGACCTTAAAGACGACAAGAGGTATTATTACAATGCAAGGCGTATGGGAGTAGAGACAACGGATATATTCGGAACGTTTCTGTGGGACTTATTTCATATTCGTCGCTGCTGTCATCTTTCCTTCACCAACAAGAAGACTCATCGAAACGGCGCAAGCCAATCAGAATACGCGTAAGGATAGGGATACTCCCACCAACATAAAAATATTTAGATTATTTTTGGCAATATGCATCTGTTTAATAAATGTGGAAAAAGCACATTGTCAGTTCCACACTACTATTGTATAGGTGGAAGCGGCTCACTTGACTGTGATATCATTTCAATGGCGCTTTTACTAGACTTGGATTCCCCAAACTAGTTTAAGTATAAAAGAACGTATAAGTTAAAAAACGTATTAAAGTAATTAACTAATCCCCGATATCCAAACAAATAATTCACGTGCATATTAAACTCTCGTCATGATATTGTGTTGCGGACATTTTAGTCCATTTGCTATGTTACAAATTTGTTCGTACGATAACAAGATAGCTAAGCTTCAGTGATAAAGCAATAAAGACATAAGAAAATCTTTAGATAAGTAAACTATATGTTGTACCGATTTTGTAAAGTGAACACAATATAGCTATTGTTGAGACAGATGGCCGCTTTTTCTCAGATTTCCGCATATCATATAAAAATCATGCAAGTGTAAGGTCAGATTAGCTGGTATTGACATGTGTGACAAATGAACGCTTTTATTTTAAAGTTAATTTCAAGGTGTAATTTCCAGTGCATACATGATACAATCAAGTACATAAGGAAAGTGGCACCTTCACATCATGCATGTTTATCACAGTGCACTGATAATGTATCTTGTCTATGACATAATCGAGTTTTTACCTGATTTTGCTGGAGCTGCAGCATTGGAGACACACGTCCCACGTTCACACCACTGCAAAAGAACGTTTAAAGTTTAAACAGTCAACCTCTTGTGTCGTGTCAACCATAACGTTAGGTTGCATCAGAAAAATGCCGAGCTGATAATAGCTGCAGTAAAACAGAGTGCCGTTACCAGTGGGCTTGAAGAAAGACTGTCAGAAGTCCCTGTCCGCATTTTAACTGCAGAATTGTTTTATAGGCATTACTTTGGAGTTGACGGATGACAAAGTGGACACAACTTCTTTAATACTGTAAAGTTCAAGAAAGACCAACCTGCCAGAATCCTTCGCCAACATAAAACCCTTCTCAAACCACTAAAAAACAACTAAGTACTTCACCTTCAACTCTCCGTCAATCACCCCTATCTACCCTATGCCAGAGCCACCATCAAAATCCACAAGATCCCTCCTAAAGCCCTCCTATTTGTGTGTTCGCGAGACACAACAACGCCCAACACCTCACCAGAACCCCCCCCCCCCCCCCCGCTCCCCTTTGTCATCCTAAAACAAGTCCAAGACCCAAACTTGCTACTACAACATCGAAACCAACAACATCCCCGTGTAGAGTTCACCATCGAAATAGAGAAGAACAACCAACTACTCTTCCTGGATGTCCTTGTCTCCAGAACCATACAAACAGAACCCAAACCAGTGTCTACCGGAACCCCACCCACACCGACCAATATATCCACTTCAACTCCAACCCATCCCCTTAGAACTAAGATTGGCATCATCTCTCTCCTCAGTGAATGAGCCATCGACCATTCTTCTGCTGACCCCAAACCTGAGATCGAACACCTCCGTCAAAACTTTATCCACCTAAACAATTTACAACCAAATCTCCACTGTAGTCTATCCCACACTCCGTTCTGCGACCCCTGAACCCGAATCAGCGCCTTTCCGCATCACCCTCCCATTGATAGGAAGAGCTTCACACATCACCAGCCGCCTCCTCAAACAGCAATCCAATATTGACACCTGCTTCACCAGGTCCACCTTCCCTCAGTACCCTACTAAGAGCCAACGGCAGAAACTCAACCCAACCTGAACAGCCTAGTGGTTTAGTTTATAAAATTGATGGCAACTGTGGACAATCCAACGTAGGTGAAACATCCCGCCCCAAAAACACAAGAATCAAAGAGCACAACGCTCCTTTCACAATTTTGATATTCTCTTATCAACATCAAAATGAATGTAAACACTATCACCATCAAAGTATCGTTCCAGATTTATAAACTTTATCCCTTGATATCGAGCTGAATAGTTGATTAAAACCAATAACAGTTTTCACCTTTTTATCGCCACATGATGTGTGATCAAGGGGAATCGACCTGTAGCACATGTTTCCGGTTCCAAGACAGAACTGAACCCGACACATCGACTCAAAATTGTTTCCATTTTCATATGATGCGACATCCTGGAATTGTAGAGAAAAAACAACCATCAAGGCATGGTTATGTAAACTAACACGTAAAGAAAGGAGCATTTATGTACACAAATGCATTCTATCGGCATCAAGAACTGAAGTCCGAAACAACGTAGTTTATTATCCAGGAAGTAACTAAAATAGTCTAAAAATATCAAATAATCCATATACCATTATTAGTTCTCCATGGTGTTTTATTCCACCCATCTGTTATAACTTAGATAGCTAAAAGAAAAAAAAATACCAAAATGTTCAAGGTAAGCCAGTTAAGGTAATAAATAATTTATCCTCTTTGGGAAATAGTTCATGACGTATTATTTTCACACCATTTGTATAAATCCAATAGTGATTATAAAGTGATCGATGTTTGCTGTGACACCTGTTTGCTGTTTACCTACCCTGCAAAACATCGACTGAGGTCCCCGTTGTGCTACGCACTGCTGATCGCTATTAATCGCTTGACCTGCACGTCGTCCATCCGTAGAAAGAATAGAACCGGATATAGAGGTGTTGAGAGCACAGGCGCTTCTGGAGGGAAAACGGAATGAAACACATTTGTTAAAACAATGTCAAAACAACTTCTTAAATAGCCATTTAGAAGTTGGAGTACTAAGTAAGGATAATAATTTATGGATGAACAACTTCTTTATTGCAATTAAGAGCGACGTTTCTGTGTAGGTTCTAACACCGTCTAACACCATCACCTGCTTGACAACGGTGTTAGTACCTACACCGAAACGTCGCTCTTTATTGTAATAAAGAAGTTGTTCATCCATAAATTATTATCCTTACTTGATGTCAAAACAAGTGAATATGGCAAAGAACTTTAGCTTCAAGGTATATCGATGATCTGTCATTGTTCAATATCGATCAAGTAGCCAATTTTCCTCCACTATTTTACCCACCTGAACTAGATATATAGTAGACTAGAGAAAACCTGTTCCCTATTTAGATCTATGCATAAAGATTCAAAGTGACAAATAAATCTCTCTTCCCAAGACTGTATGCCAATAGGGATGACTTCAACTTTCCAAAAGTCAATTTATCTAATGAGTTGAGCTTCAGCCTTTGGTGTTTATATTTCACAACTTTGAGCATGCTCTTTCCACGAAGATGTCGAAGAACGCCATCAAAGAACGCCTCTTCCATAAAGGTGTTTTGTCAAGGTTATGCAGAGCCTCAGTAAAGCTTTCACTTTGTTTATGCCTGACAAGTGTACATTTCCAAATTTCACCCATCATGGACGAACATTATTATCCATCCTCATAAACCCCCTCTCTCCACCCCCAATCCCCTACCCCGAATCCCCCACCCCCAAACCCCCTCTCTATATCATACCGAGCAAGGTTAAAACATTCCGCCTTCAAATTCGTCAATAACCGATAAGAGTTTACTCACTGAGAAGTAGATAGAGTAGCCTTCAATGTCTCCACAGAACATGACGAGAAGGTCCAGGGATTAGACGGATTCAGTGGAGAGGGGAGTCGTAATATAGCTGACATTACAAAGCTGTCAGTGTTGTTGCAGCCAATGTCGGAGTCATGTCGTAAACCCAAGCTAAAACATAAAGAACCAATAAAGTCAAAATATATGCTATTGTTAAGAATTGTCGTTCTGACATAAGTATATATAAGTGTTAGACGTTAGATTATATTTCACTATTGAATACCAATGCTAGGCCGACAGTATTTTTTATCCCCGAAAGAATAATAAAGGTCATATTACTCGCCCTACTAAGAAAACTTCCCAAACAGTAGGGGAAATATTCCTATAAGAGTAGAAACACTTACATGTGTCCAAGTTCATGAGCAGCAAGTATCCCAACTGAACCACCAGTGATGATTTTGGCAATACTTACAGGGATATCTGTGCACAGAGTATCAAAAGTGGCATAACCTGCAACAGAAACAACAAACATAAAACACCGTCTAGCACTATGGTGTACACCGAGAACATAATTTGTAGAATGCATCTGACGCGATACGTTGAGTATCCCCACAGGGTTTGCGATATTGATATCTCCCTACGTGGGATACCCATAAGTATTACAATTATAATCTCGTCACAGGAGACACCTCAAACACAGTATTTAGATTCTATCACAGACAGCATCAGTTACAGTTCAGGATACAGTTCAGATCGGAATACAATACTCTGGTCTCACCACTTGCGATTCCTCAATATATTACCACAACAGCAGAAGAAAATGATGAAGATGACGGAGAAGAAGAAAAAAAGAAAGAAATATGCACGAAATCCGAGCTCTTGAATCCAACTGACTCACCTATTGGGGAAATTCCACTTACTGTCAAGTCATACCTGCAACAAGAAATGTTAAATCAATGATGAGGAACATTTGAACATACACAACCACGTCATCGTCTTCTGCAATATGAAATTTTAGTTGTGGAAAACTACTTCGACAAACTTGAATTACATGTCCTCTCTCGGGGGCATGGATGTCCCAGGGGAATCCAAGATCGCGCGTTTGAATCGCAGATTAGCCGGCAGTTTATTATCCTTGATCTCTCAATATTAAACGCAAGTTCTGATGCTCGTCAATCACGTGACCTAAACATTGAAAGGACACATGATATTTAGGAAGTAGACCAAAAGACCGATCTTGGCTCATACCCTCAGATGGATACATGTTCAACAATGGCGTACCATTGCTTGAAGCCGCATGGACTAATAGTCACACCCACCACGTGTATTACACACATATACAACGCATGTAGCTTACCTCGTGAAGATCATATAGGCGTCGGCTGACTTTGGGGCGTTATCAAAGAGGAATTGTGCATGAATTGTGAGAGCCGGTATAATGGGTACAACGCTTCCGTTCTTTGTGGTCTCAGTCCAAGGAGACCCAGAGGCGGACTTGAGAAACGAAAGAACAAATTGTTACCTAACCTTCTTGAAGAAGTGTTGTCACAATAAAACCACACTCAGGTAGTAGTAGTAGTAGTAGTAGTAGTAGTAGTAGTTGAAGTAGTAGTAGTGGTAGTAGTAGTAGTGGTAATAGTAGTAGTAGTAGTAGTAGTAGTAGTAGTGGTAGTAGTAGTAGTGGTAATAGTAGTAGTGATAGTAGTAGAAGTAGTGGTAGTAGTAGTAGTAGTAGTAGTGGTAGTAGTAGTAGTAGTGGTAGTAGTAGTAGTAGTGGTAGTAGTAGTAGTAGTAGTAGTGGTAGTAGTAGTAGTAGTAGTAGTGGTAGTAGTAGTAGTGGTAGTAGTAGTAGTTATAATAGTAGTAGTGATAGTAGTAGTAGTAGTGGTAGTAGTAGTAGTAGTGGTAGTAGTAGTAGTAGTAGTGGTAGTAGTAGTAGTAGTGATAGTAGTAGTAGTAGTGGTAGTAGTAGTAGTGGTAGCAGTAGTGGTAGAGTGGTAGTAGTAGTAGTAATAGTAGTAGTAGTAGTAGTAGTGGTAGTAGTAGTAATGGTAGTAGTAGTAGTGGTAGTAGCAGTGGTAATAGTAGTGGTGGTAGCAGTAGTGGTAGTAGTAGTAGTAGTAGTAGTAGTAGTAGTAGTAGTAATGGTAGTAGTAGTAGTAGTAGTAGTAATGGTAGTCGTTGTAGTAACGGTAGTAGTAGTAGTAGTTTACCACGGATACAACGTATACATATATATATAGAGAGAGAGAGAGCGAGAGAGAGAGAGAGAGAAAAAAAAATGTGGAGTGTGTTTATGATACATACAATATATCTATATATGTAGAGCGAATTTATGATACATACAATGTATGTATAACGTGTTTATGATAATAAAGAAGTACGGTTTATTTCTTCACACGACACTTGATATCTGCCATAGTAAAAAAAGAAGCTAATCTTACCTGGTGGCAAGATTATTGGTCCTGTTTATCGGACAGTAATTGCAGAACACGTACACCATGAACACAGTAACTGTGGAACACGTACACCATGGACACAGTAACTGTGGAACACGTGAACCATGAGCACAGTAACTGTGGAACACGTACACCATGGACACAGTAACTGTAGAACACGTACACCATGAGCACAGTAACTGTGGAACACGTACACCATGAACACAGTAGCTGTGGAACACGTACACCATGAACACAGTAATTGCAGAACACGTACACCATGAGCACAGTAACTGTGGAACACGTACACCATGGACACAGTAACTGTGGAACACGTACACCATGAACACAGTAACTGTGGAACAAGTACACCATGAACACAGTAACTGTGGAACACGTACACCATGAACACAGTAACTGTGGAACAAGTACACCATGAACACAGTAACTGTGGAACACGTACACCATGAACACAGTAACTGTGGAACAAGTACACCATGAACACAGTAACTGTGGAACACGTACACCATGTACACAGTAACTGTGGAACACGTACACCATGTACACAGTCACTGTGGAACACGTACACCATGTACACAGTAACTGTGGAACACGTACACCATGAACACAGTAACTGTGGAACACGTCGCCATGAACACAGTAACTGTGGAACACGTACACCATGTAGGCAGTAACTGTGGAACACGTACAGCATGAACACAGTAACTGTGGAACACGTACACCATGTAGACAGTAACTGTGGAACACGTACACCATGAACACAGTAACTGCAGAACACATACACCATGAACAAAGTAACTGTGGAACACGTACACCATGGACACAGTAACTGTGGAACACGTACACCATGAACACAGTAACTATGGAACACGTACACCATGTACACAGTAACTGTGGAACACGTACAGCATGAACACAGTAACTGCAGAACACAGTAACTGCAGAACACGTACACCATGAACACAGTAACTGTGGAACACGTACACCATGAACACAGTTACTTTGGAACACGTACACCATGTACACAGTAACTGTGGAACACGTACAGCATGAACACATTAACTGCAGAACACGTACACCATGTACACAGTAACTGTGGAACACGTACACCATGAACACATTAACTTTGGAACACGTACACCATGAACACAGTAACTGCAGAACACATACACCATGAACACAGTAACTGCACAACACGTACACCATGTACACAGTAACTGCAGAACACGTGCATTTTAAACACCGTTACGGTCGAACATGTACTTGATACAGACACAAACGGTTGAACACGTCCTTGACAAACACAGTTACTGTGAAACACACGCATAGTATACATACACGTTTATGATGAAGTCAGTAAACATAGAAAACGTACATGATCAAGTAACTTCGAACGCGTTAATGTTCATACAAACAGCAGCTGTAGAACATGGGTATGATCATACGCACATGCTAAGCCAGACAGAGAGTTCCCTTGCTCACTGTGGCAGTAGTGATATACGTTATCAAGACTTCATTGAGATTGAAGGGCTCCCTTGCTTACTGTGGCAATGTTGATATACTTTATCCAGACAGTGATAGAGATTGAAGTGTTCCCTTGCTCACTGTGGCAATGTTAATATACTTTATCCTGACAGTGATAGAGATAAAAGGGTTCCCTTGCTTACTGTGGCAATGTTAATATACTTTATCCAGACTTGATAGAGATTGAAGGGTTCCCTTGCTCACTGTGGCAATGTTAATATACTTTATCCAGACAGTGATAGAGATTGAAGGGTTCCCTTGCTCACTGTGACAATGTTAATATACTTTATCCAGACAGTGATAGAGATTGAAGGGTTCGCTTGCTCACTGTGGCAATGTTAATATACTTTATCCAGACAGTGATAGAGATTGAAGTGTTCCCTTGCTTACTGTGGCAATGTTGATATACTTTATCAAGACAGTAAAAGAGATAAAAGGGTTCCCTTGCTTACTGTGGCAATGTTAATATACTTTATCCAGACAGTGATAGAAAAAGAAGGGTTTGCTTGCTTACTATGGTGATGTTGATGTACCTCGTTCAGACAATGAGTTAGCTACAATGGGTTTACGCCGCTTTTAGTAATATTCCAGCAACATCACGGTGGCGAACACCAGTTATGGGCTTTACACATTTTACTTATGTGGGGAGTCAAACCCGGGTCATCGGCGCGACGAGCGAACGCTTTAACCACTAGTTTACCCAACTGTCCCCGTCCAGACAGTGGTAGAGATATAAGTGTTCCCTTGCTTACTGTTGCAATGTTGATGTACTTTATCCAGACAGTGATAGAGATCGAAGGGTCCTGTCTGTTCACTGTGTCATATCGAATCTGCATCTGTAATATCAAGCCATGTAATTTAAGTTAGAGACTAAGAGATAAAGAGTGAGTAAATAGAAGCGATAAAACCCATTCCATATTCATAAGATTTTACACCTACGACTACATCATCAGCCTGTGTTTCTGAATCAGTTTTAAAAAGAAATGATAGCAGGTGTTCGCGAAAAGGTGAGCGTATCTTGCCCAACCTTTAATTTCGCAAACACACGCAAAGGCAAGTCACATTGAAAAATACGGGAACAAATGGCAATAGTCAAAAAAGGGAATTGAATCGGATATCATTTTTGTCAATGATTTGATATTTGAAATGTCCTCCACATGTCTAACTTAACTTTTAATAAAGCTTGCTATTAATGTGTAGTACTATGTTGTACTTTTTAATGTACTGGAAAATACTGAATTGAATTACACATTTAAATACTGATGCATGGACGTTATGGAAACTAATGTGACACTTCAATTAAGTATATTGTGACACATTGATGTCGTATAGCACGTAGACGTGATATTATGACAAAACTGTTTTACCATTTCCTCCACGAAGGCATAGTACAATCTCATGTTGGAGATGGTGGCGGTCGTGTTGCCCTCGGCGATAGCAAGAAAGCTGCAATAATGGACAAATGGTAGAATATCTTGAAACAAAATTATCATGTCTGCATAGCATAGGTTATCTTGTACTGTTGTCCGGAATCTGTAAGTTAGTCGCACCTTGACCATGTGTTCGTGTTCATAGCAACAGCTTCTGTGGTTTAGGGGATAGAGAGTCTGTCCGGGGAGCGGAAGGTCGGTGGTCCGATCCCCGGTCATGCCATACCAAAGAATTCAAGCGATTACATGTTTTGTTGTCCTGCCTGTTTCTGTGCATTAAGGGGACACACGCACATGCACACACATACACGAGCTAAACGTTTAACGTCTTTGAACACACATGTAGAACTTACAAAGTATAGTCACTGAAATCCGGGAATAGAGCCAGCTCGATGATGTAGTGAGCATCCGTGTTTGCAATGCCTGAAACATATTGTAAATATTCACATGTGACAAAGAATATCTGAGGGAATGTGGGATTATATATATTTCGCCAGTCAGCAGCACTCCCGCAAGTATGGGGCACTTGGGTAGGTTTCACTACATATTCATCAGTGACAATGAAATTACTTGTCGTATGACCAGAATTTGACGAAATTCCTTGTTCATTTGACCCAATGTTTCGAACGTTTGATGTAATGCCTAGTAAATGTAACGGAGTGCATTGTATATTTGACGCAATGCCTTGAGCGTTCGATGAAATACTTTGTACATTTAACGCATTGCCTTCTACATTTGAAGGAATGCCTCGTATATTCGACGAAATGCCTTGAACATTTGACAGAATGTCATATATATTTGACGCAATGACTGGAACGTTTGATGGACACCTTTTACATTAGACGGAATGCCTCGTATATTCGACGAAATGCCTTGAACATTTGACAGAATGTCATATATATTTGCACAATGACTGGAACGTTTCATGGACACCTTGTACATTAGACGGAATGCCTCGTATATTCGACGAAATGCCTTGAACATTTGACAGAATGTCATATATATTTGAGGGGGCACGGGTGGCCCAGTCGTCTAAGGCGCCGCGATTCGCTGTGCAGAGTTGCGTCCCTTGGGCACGCCAGAAACCTATGATTGTGAGCTCGAATCCCGGTTCGCTCCGATTATGTTTCTAGGTTTGTCAGCACCATACCCGTGCTCGTGGGTTTCACCGAGTGGTAAACGTCTTAGACCTGCATCACTTCGGGCTTTCCTCCCACATTAAGATGATATGCCGTGATATAACTGGAATACTGTTAAAAGCGGCGTTAAACCCAACTCACTCACTCACTCACTCACTCATATATATTTGACGCAATGACTGGAACGTTTCATGGACACCTTGTACATTAGACGGAATGCCTCGTATATTCGACGAAATGCCTTGTACATTTGACAGAATGTCATATATATTTGCACAATGACTGGAACGTTTGGGGGAATACCTTGTACATTTGACGCATTGCTTTCTACATTTGCCGCATTGCCTTCTACATTTGACGGAATTCCTCCCACATCGAAAGGAATATCAAGCTGAAGGTCCACTGTGTCGTTTGTCAGATCAAAGGACACAATCTTGCGCACCTGGTGCTGATTGCTGCTTGTGGATGACTGGCGCTTGTAAACGTGATGTTTCTTTGGCCAGATATTGTACGTCTGGTTGTTGTGATGGATCGTCCCAGCCTCAAGAAGCATAAAGTCAACATGACAATATGTTATACATATATCATTTTACATATCTTTGTCTAAATAAAAACTGAACTGCCGTGTCATGTTAATGGATGAGGAAAGAACAAATAGAAGACATTCCTGGACGTTCACAGCTCTGATTTTAACCAATGAGTACTGGTATGATGGTGACAAACCTGATCCGTAATGGGTAACACATTTACAACAATGGAAACCACATGATCCTCAGTCAGCTAATATGACAATACGACAAGCATGGTGAGCCGGGCCCGTGATCACCTTCTTACCAGATGATAAACATCCTCCTCCTTCCGCGTAATGATGGCGGCCGATCCTTGAAGAGAATCACGATAAACAGCAGTGTTCTGTCAAAACCAAAAACATTTTGTCATTATGTTATAAATGTATACTTATTTTACTAAATCTACAGATTTTTTCTGAATAATCGGATTTTTCAGTTTTTCATGCTGAAAACAAGTTCACAAATTATGTATATTATTCACTACAATTATCTCCCAAATATTCATGATGATCTCCAACGTTTTTGTTCAGTACATTCACTAATCTCTCTGCTACTGATGCTTGTTAGATTACAAACTGAAAAAGTTGGAAGAATGATGTTGGATGATAATAGAATCTCAACCTCGAATTTTTAGCGACTCGTGTAGATATATTCAATATGGAAAGACACATTCTATTTATCACATGCGATTTTATGTTGTGTTCAGATGATGGTTTGAATCGAAGACAGCATTGCTTACGTCATGTAGCGGCAAATCGGCTTGAAGTGTTGATCCACGTTCGTCGGTCAGATAGACAGGGTAACTCTCTATGTCTCGTTCACTCCGTGTCAAATTTAGTAAAACGTCTGTGCCAGAGAGTTCAAACCGGAAGTGCAGAATACCAGGCATGCGCGTGGCGGATCTTTCATGGCGGATGTGAGAAGAATGTGTTAACACTGGGTCCACCACATCTGTGAAGTAACGTTGAATCTAATTTATTAGAGATGACTGTTAAATAATTTCACTTCACTTCAATTCCATTCTGTTGATTGTATTCAAGACCATCGGTCCACATACAAAGGTACATCATTTTACATTTGGTCATTAGGTAATAGAGGTACATATCATGAAAACGTTGAAGTGTCAATTTTCCTACGGAAATTCATTAGGTCAACTAAAACTGAGGGTCAGTTTTCAGACATTGAAATACGAAATGAATTGAATGTACACTTACCAATATATCTCTTTGGTAGATATTGTTTTCTTATATAATTATATAATGAACATGTTAATATGACATGAAGTTCATCTTCAATCATATTTCAATTTCTAAACGTGCAGATTTTTCGAACAAGTTGCCCAAAAAACCCACCTAATTGTATACGCCCCCCCCCCCCCCCCCCCCCCGCTCCCCCCACCGCTCCCCCCTCCACCCATTCTGTTCTCAATTGAGATAATTATCTTCGGTTGTATATGGAATTGTTATTAAGCATGTAATGTTCGGTTTTATAGACATTTAACAACATGAATATGTTTTATATCTCTAGCTTACATTTATCGCTGCTTGCCATTTTTGACATCTCTTAATCTAAAGTTTTATTCATTTTTAATCTATTTAAATTCACCGATGTCTTGATATACCCAACCTAAAAACATATTTACTATTTGGAAAATGGTTTTCATTCTAGTTCAGATCCATACAACAGAATAGCTGTTATCTTATCTAGATTAAAAGTCCGATGCTATTCATTGTTCTGCAAGGTTTTTTAAAGGGTATTTTGCCCTTTATACTCGTACTTTCAATTGATGTTTGGATCATTAGAGTTGAGCAAGATAATGTATTTTTAGAAACTAATTCATTATTATCAACACAAACTTCCACGATTCACATTTCTATATAAAAATCAATTTTAGTTTTATCACGATTTTTATATAGGTTCCATTTCTCAACAAATATTTTTAATGTTTTCAAATGCTTCAAACATCCAAACACATTATCTAAGGTAAAATTTTATCTAAAAAGCAAAAAGAGCATTTCTATGCAGTAAGGATGTGACTGTGTTTATTTGTCCGCTTTCACAGCCAATGGATACATCCTTGTTTTACTCCTGTTGTACATTTAAACACTTCAATTGGTAAAATATAACTGTTACATTTACATTTTCATTCGGTATATGTATAGTGTATGCTTTTAATATCTTCCCTGATAAACTATTTGTTTAAGTAATATCAAAAGACGGTTCCTATCCAATGAATCAAAAGCTTCCTTAAAATCAATAAAGGCTACATAAAATCTCGCTTTTCATTCAGATAAATATTTTTTGTATTAAAACATTTAATACAAATATGTTGTCTGATCATCTTATTCCTCTGATATCGTTCCTTAATCTCCAACCAATGACAAAAATCTCCCATTTGAAACTGATGTTAAAACGCCTCTGCCCCTCAGCTTGTCAACAGTTTTTGTCAACAATACATATTGTCTTATTACTACCATCAAAGTGTTCAATAAAGCATTACCCTGCTTTTATCAATGTATCACAGAACACATCTTTTGACTTATGAACATTTTGTACAGTCATGTTTTTCGCAATTTCTAATTTGCCCGTGATCTCTTCTGAAATAAGAGTTACTATAAACTCATGTATTTTCACCAATTTCCTCATATATTGGTCGTATCTGACATTGTTCATGTTTCCATTTCTTTATATAATACATGTGCATTTCAATACAAGTGGAAGATATTGTGATTTCGATCTGTCATCAATAGGCACACACGTTGATACATTGTGTAGCATTAGTTGATATAATGCAATAATCACTTAAGTTGGCACCTATGTTTGAAAAACGTCATTGTTCCGGTCATTGTGTCAGACCCAAAATGACAATTTTCAGTATTGAAACCAAGGGTGCTACACATGTCAATTAATGACTTTTCATACCCATTTATTTTGTTATCTTGAGATTTTCAATCAGAATGTTATAAACTTACGGGCAAAAGAAAGTTACCACCTTGCTCAGTAGCTCAATAAAAAGAAACAAATGCAGGTGTTAGCTATATGATGATTATTTTAGAGAAGGGAATCATTTTTCGATATCCGTACAAAATTGCAAAGTCATATCGATAGTGCACTGCCCATAAGGCCGTGCGAAACAGACATGGGGTCAAAATTTAAAAAAATACATGAATACGTGCCAAACAAAGTCCTCCCGAATTGTGCTCATAAAGTCAAATCATGCATCAAAGCACGCCAAAATACATCTCCTCACGCAGGTCGTCACTCGCAGGCATTCTGCGCCACACCTGATGAAGCTGCTGTGTGTTTGCTTGATGTGTGTGTGTGGGGGGGGGGGGGGGGGGGGGGGGGGGGGGGGGGGGACGCGGGGTACGCGTTGTCTCAGATAATGCAAATAATGCTGATCAAGTCTCTTGTGTGAGTCTGGCATTTTACTGATGTTCTTTTTTATGCTGCAGCTTTTCTCTGCCCCACACTGGTATTTATGCAACAATTATGTACGAACATGTTTAACAGTTCCCCAAAAGGTCACTGTCTTGTGTGCAAAGGGTGTGTTTGGGTGAATGTATTCTGATAACGTTCTAATTTATCGCACCCTTATCGCACCCCGTCTTTTATTCAGATAAACCTTAATTTACAAGTGCTCCGTTTGCCCGCTAGTTTTATATATGCTAAACATGCTAAAGAGAAATGTAAGACCACCTACCAGAAACACCGAGGTGAGACTCGTCCATGAAGGCGAGTGAATCAGCCGACGTTGAAATTCCCAACAACATCAGAGTTAACAACATCATCAGCGGAATTAAATGGGGTGAATATGTTGTTTCAATATAAGTACAAGGGGCATGCGTTATTATTCTGCTGGAAAGGGATATGGTTGTCTTCTTATAAATGTGAAAGCAGACACTGGTATAAATCTCCATTTTGTCCTCATTGTATTTACAGCCAACCAACGAAACATACGTGATGGCACATGACTTCCGGCGCCATTACCTTTGATTCGTGCTATCATGATTTGCTTACGGCTATAACAGTTTTGTCTTAACTCAATGGCCGAACTGATTAGCATGATTAACAGCTTCCAACACAGTAAATGCCTTGGGGTGTGAGATTATATCAACTCTCACTGAGCCTGAAGATGAAATAACAGTTGATAATGCATTATCTTGTCATATAACTTTAAACCGATATGACCCATTGTATAAAGTACATAATACGTTGATACGAGCAAAAGAAAGTATACACCCTGTTTCGGCATCTATTGTCGCCGGGCACATATTGCCGCTGGCCACAATATATGCCTGCGTTCACGGCACAGATTGCCGCCAATGCTCAATGTGACCAATAGGTATATTGAGTCTCTTGAAGCAAGATTGTATAATGTTCGAGATATACTCCGGAAAATAGAAGATTACAGACAGACAGACATACTGACGACTATATATCTTCCCGTCGTTATATGTATGGGGAATAAAAATCATGTATAACATGTTTTCTATAAATGTAATGATGATCATCATGATCAATATGACCATCATCATCAACAACATTGTTATCTCAAAGTGTTGTTGTTTTTTGGCTCTGACGAATGCCGACAATATGTGCAGTAAAATCTCGACATTTATTGTCACCTGCGACAATTTATGCCCGTCGACATAATTCGCCGGCGACAATATGTTGACATACCCATGCTTGATGGTGGATACAAAAGACACACAAAAAAAAAAATAAAGTTAAACAATGGTGGTGCATTTGATACGGGTATCACAGTAACGTTTGGAAAACGTCTGGATTGTTTGGTCAGTGACGAGAACGTGACGAGAACATCCAACATGTGCTCTTTTAGGGACATGTCAGGTGACTCAGAGGGACAGACCAATGTCCGTATGCTCTCTCGTCGGAGATAATCAGTGACGACCTGAGCACCATGAGGCCTTTCAATGTCATCTGGCAGTTCAATATTTCTGGCGATAATTAAACGACAGGATGCAAAACTTCGCCAAACTATCGCTGACCAGTCAAACGTCCATTCATAATAACCAAAGCAATTCTAATGTCATGCGTGCTACCCAGATCATGGCACTACCACTTCCATACATATCATTTTCGTCATCAAATGTTTCCATGTCATGCCGCTCGCCCCTACATCGCCAAAACGGTTCTCTTCATCTGTGAATCGGAGGAAAAACCTTGATTCGTCTGCAACATTGTGTAGTGCACAGTCCGTCTCTGGTGTTGCCTAACCCACCCTAATATTCGCCGCCTACGGTAAACTGTTATGGCCACACCCTTCAGAAGATGCTATGTTTTCAGGCGAAATGCATAGTCGAGAAATTACACTTTTTGATTTGCCAAACAGTCGGGTAACTTGTGATATTGACGTCTGCTCTCTGTCGTACCCACAATTCGTTCTTTTGTCTGTTAACTGACATTGTGTCTCAGATGCATTTTTAAACGTGTTCTTATCCCAAGTATATTTGTGATTGTGGGTTCCCCTATTGGCGTACAGAAATGTTATTTTGAAATATATATATATATATATATATATATATATATATATATATATATATATATACAAAAATGAGGTAAATGTTCACTCGGTGTACATGTAATATATAATAAAATAATAAAGTCCACGTTAGTCCATCATCTTCTTTATATCAGTTTCATACATAGTACTTTCGCTGTCTCATGACAGCTCTTCAGTGTAACTGACAATGACATATAATGACGTCATACTTATGATGACGTCATAAATTACAACTGTGACGTCACAATGTATTTACACACTCCAGCGACGTAAATGTTGCACTGTTACTTTACAAATACTGTATATTTAATTCAAAAGTCTCCCTACAATTGTTAAATTACTTGGTGTCGTCGCTGGAGTGTGTAAATACATTGTGACGTCACAGTTGTAATTTATGACGTCATCAT